TTTTCAAAGACTATCAGAGTCATAAACGTGGATTTAAAAAGTCATAAGTGTGGATTAAAAAATCAAAGACTATCAGAGTCATAAGCGTGGATTTTGTAAAAATATTTTCAAGGACTATCAGAGTCATAAGCGTGGATTTTTTAAAAATATTTTCAAGGACTATCAGAGCCATAAGCGTGAATTTTGTTTTAAATATTTTTTCAAGGACAATCAGAGTCATGAACTTGGATTTTTTTTAAATGGTTTATAAAGAACTATCAGGGCCATATTTGTGGATTTTAAATAAAAATATACTTTCAAGGACTATCACCATAAGCTGGCAATTTTAAAAATATTTTGTCAAGGGCTATCAGAGCCATTAATATTCACATATTCAATTTTAGTGGAAATCGATTTAAATTATGATACTGATTCCATATACAGTTCATTCCTTTAGCTTTCCATGCTCGACCGCTCTAAAGTCGTAATACGCATACAATAACATCGTATTGGGTATGATTTACTTCAAATTGTGTCGATTCGGTCGATTTTTTATTTTTTTTACTGGTTTTTCTTAATTTATTGTTTTTGTTACGTTGTAAGAACCCTACGTTTTGAAGTCGGGCGTAATCACTCTGTGCCACTTTTATCCATTACTTGGTAATGCGTAAAATGATTCATTTTTACCTGAAAATGTTTTTCAAGGTACATGTCATATATTTTTTACCTTATATTTAGTTATTATGCTCATATGCCTTCCAAAAACGTTTGCTGGGATAACACGTAGAACAAGAGACTCATAAACAATGATTTTACTGTCACTGACTCAAATCTAGTTGTTGACGTTTCATTGTTTATGCTGTTGTCACTGACTGTGTGCGTCTATGTTTGTTTGTCAAGTACATAAATGTCCCCCTGCGGAAACACACACTACCACATATCCTGAAGTAGTGTTAAAGTATACATTTTCACTGATGGTGGCATTCTTTACATTACAAAGCACGCACAACAACAACGACATTCCGTCATGAATAGCCGGCAAGAGGGTCACTTTATTGTAGAACACATAAACATAGCAGACAATTCATTTTGTTTAAATCCAAAGAAAAAGTCTCCACGGACATGGAGACAAACATTTCAAAAACACTTTGCAATTTATCAAATGTTTAGTTTAAAACTTTAATTTTACCAACCAGACCCAAAGAAGAAGACACAGCCAATAGAATGCTTTAGGCCATGGCGCAAACTCTTTTTGCCAACATTTTGCTCTTTGAATAGCTTCCCTTCAGCTGAGACAAAGACAAGATTTTCAATTATTCATAAGACGTTTTCGATAATTAATATCAAGGCGTTGCATGAATTTTAATTACCTACAGTCATCATAGAATTATTCTACAGCATAAGATATGGCAGATTGCCTTCGGGCGGAGGTCTGCAGCAGAACAGCAACAACAACAAAGAATGGCAACAACAAAGTTTGCCAAATTCAACTAAAACCAGGGCAAACCACAATGAAATGTTAAACCTTGTCGAAACTTAAGTAAGTTTTGTGTAATTAAATGTGAAAAGATGATAAATCGTTTTATAAGACTTTCATGTTGATAAATTCTCGTTTTTGGCTAAATCCAATTCTTGGTAATGTTTCAAGTTAAAACCATTTTTATTAGAATCACAGAGATAGTTAATTAAGACATTTGATGTTAGTCCAACGGAGAAGGGGGAGTAGGACTTATTGTGTAAGAGAGGAAATAAGTGGAGAAAATAAGGGGAAACAGACGGAGAAAGGGCAATACGACTGGAGAGTAAAAACATAATTGAATGTAGGGGAGAATTAAGAGTTCACCAGTTAAGAACAAAGTTATGTAGGCGGGTTTAGCGCTAGTATAAATGCTACTTTGCATATATATATGAAATCGAACAATCCACCCAGGATTCACATTTTTTGGAATCTTAGTATTATCGATAAACTAGGCGTAAGATCACAGAATGCTTACATTGTGTTTTATGTAAATAATCCAAATAAAATGGGATAAATATATTTAAACAAGTAAAAACTACGTTGATTTTGCCAGGGCCAATATGTTAGAACCTTCATAAGGTGAAAACTTGACTTTTTGTCAAATAAAAATATTAACAAGTAAATAAGCAGCTTTTAATGCACTACACCATTTGGATAAAACGTCGAAATTTAAAAAAAAAAAACAGTAAAGACAGTTTTAAAGTCGGGCGGGCCGTCTTTATGATACCCTATACCACTTTGCTAATTTAGTAGAGTAGTAGTATTATGCCGAAGCATTTGTATCTTTTAAATTCGGACTTGTATTGCCCATTTGGTGCAGAATTAATTTGAAATCGGATAAAAATATATATGGGAGCTATATCCAAATCGGAACCGATCTCGATAAAATTTGGCAAAAATATTTCTGAGCTGTATTTGATATATTTCCCTGAATATCGTTGTTACGGAGTGCATTTTACGGCTGTGGGTAACAAATATGACGAATCGGATGAACAGTATATATGGGAGCTATAGCTATATCTGAACCAATCTTCACCAAATTTGACATACTAGCTTCTAGACTCAATTCAGTCGTAAGTGCCAAATTTCATCCCATTTGGACAAATATTAGACGTTTGGTGCGCAATCAAAGGTATTTACCTTCCGGACGAAGTTACGTATGGGAGCTATATCCAAATCTGAACCGATCTCGATAAAATTTAGCAAATGTATTTCTGAGCTGTATTTGATATATTTCCCCAAATATTGTTGTTACAGAGTGCATATTACGGCTGCGGAGGACAAAAATGACAAATCGGATGAACAATATATATGGGAGCTATATCTATATCTGAACCGATTTCGATCAAATTTGGCAAACTTATTTTCAGGTCCAATCTGATCGTACTTGCAAAATTCCATACTATTCGGACTGATATTTGGTGCACAATAAAAGGCAAATCGGACGAAGATATATATGGGAGCTATATCTAAATTTGGACCAATTATCTCCAATTTCAATAGGGTTCGTCCTTGGGTCAAACAAATGACTTGCGCAAAATTTCATCTGGATAGGGCAGTAAATGCGAACTGTACTTTGTTTACAAAAATACATGGACAGACGGACAGACGGACGGACGGACATGCAGAAATCGACTCAGAATGTGATTCTATGCAGATCGTCAAAAGGAACTATGGGTCTATCTCGTTTCCTTTTGCCTGTTACAAACAAATTCACAAAGACATAATACCCTGACCACCTTGTGGTGTAGGGTATAAAAACATCATACCTTTACTCAGAATGAGCTGCAACGAAACGTTCTTTTCGGATTTAAAAAATTCTGATATTAAATGTGATTTTTGTACTCTATTGCTTTGTCTGAAGTATTCGCTCATCTTCGTACTATTCTCCATAAGAGAGAATAATGTTATTCGAAACGAAACTGACAGCTTTGCATTGTTTGATGATAACTACTACTGCGAAAGCAATGGTCACTTGGTTTTTTCAGCTTTTTGCACTCCTCAAAATTTTGCAGTAGAGTGTTATCTTTTCGATTTCATGTTTATGCTAAAGCAATCGCATTGTTCTTCTTTCCAGTTTTAAGGTCTTTAATCAATGCTGGACTCTTGAGGTAGACCTTACCTTACACATGACCTTAAAAGAAGAAGTTGCCAGATGTTTCCTGCTAAAAGAGCTACAGTTTAATTGCTTGTGTGACATGTAGCTCTCAATCCTTTCTCTCAACTTTGCCAATAAAAATTATAATCTATCTCTTCATTAACCATTCACAATTTTCATTTACACCATTTCTTGCAAAACTCCAATATGTCACAATCAATATTGTTAGAACGATTAATTTCTATTAGCCTTGCTAAAGTACATTAATTTTAGAAATTCTTCAAATTTTTAAATATTCAGTATTTTTTAATAAATATCCTAAAATCCTACCTAGCGGGAAATGAAAACAATTTGCGTGACTACGTAGCCTAATGTCAATTTTTACCGACATCCCACTTCCTAGAAAACATTTTCTTTTCCGCCGGCCAATTAATATTCTATTCACAGATTTCAATCTTAGTTATTACACAAACAAAATAAATCTTAAATCTCTTAAAGATTTTACGTTAATTATATTTTAATAACTTTTGTAAGTTTATATCATTAAATCATAATCGTCATCTTCATCATAGCAATCACATAGCACAAGGCGGAGTAGAAACCGAAGAGAGAGAAAATGAGAAGCAGCACAACAAAATTAATTTGCAGGAATATTATTTTTCATTTGAAGTTTGATATGGTTCATTCATTTGATACGGATCTTGTATGTGTGTGTGTGTTTGTTTGAGTGTGCCTTTGCTTGTGTATGTATTTGTGCTTTTTATTTGTTTAAGTGGATTTTATTTGTGTTTGTGTGTGTCTATGTCTATACATAGGATGTTTGCGTATGTGTGTGTGTTTGTATTTTCTATTTGCTGCTACTGCTTTAATTTATGTTTATACTTTTAATGAAGCCAAAGCTCAATGCTTGTATCCAAGTAATTCTACTAATTATAAAAAACTTTTTCTAAAATATGGGTTTCACATCTCTATGTCTCTGTCTTTCTCTCCTCTCTCTTTTTTCATATATAATTTTTTCCAACATGTTTGCCTATTTTCATTTCTATGACTCTATATGTTTAACCATAATTTTTCAAACTTTTAAACGTAAAATCATAATGGCGCAAACACAAATCCAAAAATTTTGAACCAAATAAAAACCAACTGCACTTTGCTTATTTTTTTCACCAAAAAAAAAATGCACATGCACACACACACTCGCTCACTCACTCTGTCTCTCTTTCTTTCTCTGCACTTGTATACAAAACTAATTAAACTTGCCTATGCTTAAAATAAAAAAAAAACACTAACTATACCAAATCTAACACTTCAATTAACTTTTATTTTTCGTATACAAACTAACCGTTAAAATCCAACAACAAACAACATGTATGCATATTACAACAACAAAAGTATATATTACAGACCCTGATCTGATATTGCCCCGAGGTGAATTGGAATTTACAACATTGGATCCAACGCTGAAATAATACGAACACCAACACCATCTACACAGTCACCACCACCATCACCAACAACAACTACAACAACAAACTGAGCTGAATAAACCCTTGACTGTAATAGCACCAACAACTGCAACTGCTACAACAACAACAATTAACATAAGCCAAATATAACATAAACATTGATGAGAATTGAAATCACTGCATAAAATCGCTATCTCTACATCTGTATGTATGTCTATCAATCACTCAAACGTCACTAGACAGTGTGTCTGTCAGTCATGGCGTATCATTATTCCCTGTTATCTTTTATTCTGCTCCATACCCCCCAACAATGGCAAGAATCTATGCAACCAAACAGACAACCTACCAATTTTTTCCCTGAAAAAAAAAAAAACATCCCACACACATGCATACGTTCGTACATACGTTCATTTCCCTAGTCTAGGAATGGAAACCTTCTAGAATAACAACAAATAATTAAAATGAATATTATGTCTAAGACTTCAACGTACATTTCTATGTATATGTGAGTTCATCGTTCAAGGATCAAGAAAGAAAAAAAGGATATTTCATTCGTTTTTATTTTCTCTCTAAAAATGGGTATGTATGTATATATGGGAAACATTTGAGTCGGTTAAAAAGATAAAAAATTAAAAAATACTAGAAAAACCATTTTAACTGAACTCCAGACGGCAAGTGACCTTTGGAAAGTAGTGTTTCCCATATTGAGGGCATAATTAATACATCCAGGTCAAAAAAAGAAAAACTTTGAGCACAACCAAACTCAACTTAATGTCCATTGTGTCTCAAGTACGACACTGCACTGCCTGCAAGTGAAAGTTGAGTATTTGCCAATTATTATAGAATATTAATTAATTAAATAAATTTTTAGAAAGTTTCTACAAAGCCTATTTTTCCCAAGTTAATTTGATATGACAATTAATCAATTATGCAGTTAAATAATTTAAGGGAATAGTATGAAAATAATTTAAGTTTTCATTCCTTCTAATTATTTCTCTTTGAATTAAATAATACGAAAAGGTTTTAAAGGTTTTGTTGAAACAAATCCATTTCATTAAAGCATACTTTTAGGAGCAGTCGATATTATAAAGAATTATAGACTTTAGCCGTATTTACACGATTACCTTTGGGGGAATGAGATGAAGAGAACAGTGCTGTCAACTTTAAAATAAATTTTATGTTCTTCGTTAGAGTTGACAACTAAACTAAAGGGAAATGTGTTAAGAGCTTTAGGAAAATTGTTAAAAAAAAAACACACACACACACATAAAGCCCAAAACTACTTAAGGTCTATATTGGAATTGATACATATATACATATAATATAGTTTTTGAATATTATTTCGTGGAAATTTTGAACGCAACCGCACCGTATATGGTCCATTCGAATTTGTCCATTTTTGGCCTACTCTTTCCAAAAATGTTTCGCAGTGCTTCAATTAAAGAGAACTCGACTATTTAGACATGAGCTTTAATATAGCCTCAAACAAAATTGTCTAAAGGCATTGAGTCCCACGATATAGGCTGCCAATTCACCGGTCCCAAAGAAGCCTAAATAGAAGAGGAAAGCTCCCCCCTCTTCACAATTTTTTTAAACTATCAGGTTAAGATTCCTTGGAATCTGTGCGGTTTAAGCTTATAATGTATTTGGAAATATTAGTGATAATAATGCGAGGATCATGTTGGTCGGCAATTTTAATACTCGAGCGAGTCTGCCATCTGTCTGTCTGTTGAAATCACAATACAGCTCACATTATTGACGTAGAGCTTCAAAATTTGGCACAGTAGTTTACATTGTGTCTAGGATGGTTGGTATTGAAAAGAAGATATTTCAATCCACGTTTGGAATAGCCCCTACATAACAGTACCTCCCAATATTCAATATTTTGATGATTTTCGCAACATTTTTTCACGGGTTTGTCTAAAAAATTAATTAAAAATTAAAAATTAAAATATACTAATAAAATACCTATTTAATTAATTTTGAAATAGTTAAACTCAGAAGTTTCCCCTTAACATACATACCTCCAAACAATATACCCTTTTCAATCTCCATTGTACTTAGATTGTTAATTCATATTCATGCCTTCATATACTTCCGATATTTCATTGAACTGTTTATTTTTTGAATGGAAGTAAAAAACTAAATCCTACTACAAAGTTAAGTTTTACAAGAGAAACAACAACTACCAAAAATACCATCAAAATTTGGCCACTTAAAAAGTGTATCTATATATATTTAGTGATGTAATACTGTAATGTTCTTGGTATTGTCTTTATTTATTTTTTTTTAAACCATACTTCAAATACTTACCAAAGAATAATAATTAAAAAACGGCTCCATTCTTGGATTTTTGGAGTAAAATTAGAGAATAAATTAATGTAAATAATGTTAAATATAATTAATAATTAACGAAAAAACAGTAAATAAAACAAAAATCCAATTGTTCTTAGCCCCAAGTTTATAAATGTTTGAAGGTAAAGGAAAATAAACGAAAATATAATAAAACACAAAAAAAATCTGTACAAACTTATATATTGTGTAAATAACGAATTTAGAATGACGACGATTAAACTAACTAACAAATCTAGTACTGAAATGACGTCTATAAAAAATTAGTTTAATATGAAAAGAAACAAAAACATAGAAATTTAGAAGGCCATAAATACATAAACGAGAATTTAGAATAATATGCAAAGAGAAGAATGACAAAATGTTGGTATTTCGAAAAAAAATCGAGGAAACTCAAATCTAAAATACTAAGTCCTAAGTATTTCATACAAAAATTCATAAATATACAGGGTGGGTAAAAAACAAAAAAACTTGGAAATTGAAGGTGTCATAATTTTTGGAGAGTCCTCTCACAGGCGAGATATAAAATTATTTATAATTTTCCTGTAAGATGTTATTGCCAAAATAATTATCAGTTTTATTCCATTTTTTTGAACCACCTTGTACAAAGGAATAAATACAAATTTATAGACTAAATAATTAAATTAATAAAATTCATAATTAAACGACATATTTGTCACTGCAAACTATTGACAAAAGAAAATAATTATTACAGAATATTATTTAGATCTTAATAGATTAGTAAAACAAAAGTTGAAAATAAACAAAACTAAATTTTAAGTGTTTCTTGTTAACTTACAAATTTAAACAATAAAAATAAATAAATAAAACACAGTCACACACACACATACCAACACACATAGACATAACTCAAACAAAACTGAAAAAAATAAATATTTAAGTAAATAAACCAAAAATCTTTAAATAAATCAAAAGCAAACAAACAAACCAAACGACATGAAAATTAAACTTAACAAATGGAAAATAAAAATAAATTAAATTTAAGTTAAATAAGGAATAAAATAAAAGAAAACAAAGCATATTCGTATGTATGTTGTATATATAAAATAATAACAAAAAAAAATAAATAAAAATTGTAATATTTAGTAAATAATTTAAATACATAACTGTGCAAGGATTACCAAGAAAACTTAAAACAGAATTTTCTTTTTATTAATTAATGTTTAGTAACAAATTTAGTTTTTTAAGATAAAAACCAACAAACAAAAAAGTCGAATTCTTTAAGAACTAACTGAAAAAAATATATCTCTTAAGTATAGACATAATTTTGTTTACGTAATCAAATATAATCAAAAAGAAAACAACAAACATACAACAGAACTATAAAACAAAACGTATGACAAAAAAATAAATAATAATAATTGAAAATAAAGCCCATACCAAAAACAGAAAGAACAAAAAAAAATAAAATAAATAAAGTGAAATATTCAATAAGAATTACAATTGACAATTGTATTTTTGGAAAATGTCTGAAAATAACAATTATATGGTAAGTTTGTAGTGTGTTTACAAATATGTGAAAACACCAATTATTCGGTTGTGTGTGAGCGCCAAGTTTCTTAATACGAAATAAACCAAAAATCAAAACAATTTGCCAATTTTTAAGTTTTATAAAAACCTTTATTTTAACATAAACAATTAAATTTGCCAAACTTGTTTTTTTGCCAAAAAGATAACAGTTTTATAATTTAGTTTTATAATTAATTTAAGTTTTTTACAACTCTACATACGTACATATTATTATTTTGTATATTATAAGTTTTTTGTATCAAGTTTCAGCAATAAATGTAATTAAGAATTCGAGACCAATTCCGTTGTTTTATTTTTTATTAATATTATTTCTTTTTTTATGGCCTTTGGGGGAATCTGGATTCTTGGTTGGAATGGTTATTTAGTGAAATGTTTTAAAGTCGTTTTCTCGTGTGTAACACTGATAAGTTGTAAATTACTGATATATCATCGTCCCGACCAATCTGCTGAGATGAGGTTGGCTCTTTATATATTCCAATTTATGGCATATTAACCAGTAAAGAAAGTCTTAAAGTCGGGCGGGGCCAACTTTATGATACCCTACACCACTTTGCATATTTAGTAGAGCTTCACATCTATATATATAAAAGAAAGTTGTGTTAGTTACTACGCTTATAACTTAAGAACCGCTGGACTGATTTTAACGATTCATACAAATTCGGAATTGTCTCCTCTCCGAAAAGGATAATATCCAAAAAAATCACGTAAAAATGTGATATATTAACATTTTCATTTTGGCTTTTGAAATGTACAATAGTAATGTTTTATTTTGCATGATTTTTTTCCATTTTGACTTACTTTTTTCTAATGTACATTTGTAGTGTTTTTTATATTTTATTTTTGAATTCAAATATTAGTACCAATTTATTTAATTGACTTGATTTCTTGAGAAATGAAATTGATGGCGAGTTACATGGAAGTGTAGTACCGAATTATGTGGTGGCGAAACGGAATAGATGATGTCGAAATAATTAAACGCGGTCACAACAAAGTTAAAAGATAATTACTTTTTAAAAATCGCTAAAAAATCACGAAAAAAGATCTCATTGTAAAATCTCTCAAATCGGGAAAAAATCGAAAAAATTTTCAATGGAATCTTATTTTAAAATAATGACTGTAAAAAATCATTGAACAAGGTAAAGATTTTTTCAATTTGTTATTCTTTTTTTTATCAATTTTTTTTTCAATTTGTATAATCATATTGAATTCAGTGGATTTTTTTGTGAACAAAATCTATATATATAAATGTAAGTTGTGTTAGTTACTACGCTTATAACTTAAGAACCGCTGGATTAATTTTAACGATTCACACAAATTCGGAGTTGTCTACTCTCCGAAAAGGATAATATCCAAAAAAAATCGCGTAAAAATGTGATATATTAACATTTTCATTTTGACTTTTCAAATGTACAATAGTAATGTTTTATTTTGCATGATTTTTTTTCCATTTTGACTTACTTTTTTCTAATGTACATTTGTAGTGTTTTTTTATATTTTATTTTTGAATTCGAATATTTATACCAATTTATTTAATTGACTTGATTTCTTGAGAACTGAAATTGATGGCGGGTTACATGGAAGTGTAGTAGCGAATTATGTGGTGGCGAAACGGAATAGATGATATCGAAATAATTTAACGCGGTCACACCAAAGTTAAAAGATAATTACTTTTTCTAAATCGCTGCAAAATCATGAAAAAGAGATCTCATTGCAAAAATCAAAAAAAAACATTTTCAATGGAATCGAATTTTAAAGTAATAGTACATTCTATTGACAAACTTTGTAAGGAAGGATCTTAAAACATTTGCTGTAAAAAATCAGCGAAAAAGTTGAAGACTTTTTCAATTTGTTATTCTTTTTTTTTGTCAATTTTTTTTTGTGAACAAAATAAAGAATAATTTTTCACTAAAAAAATTGAATAAGTGCGAAATAGGATGTTAACTGACATCTACCTTTCAACTCCAGGGTCTACATCGTGGGTTAGCTGGAAGATGCGAACACGTTTAAACAAACAAAAATGACCGAAAAAGCTTAATGGGGCTCATTTCAAAGCGTGACAATGATCCGTCCAATGAGAGCTCAAAATGCAAAATTCTTTGGGAGAATAATAAGTAATATACCAATATTGAAATAAAAGGTGCAAAATAGTAGAGCGAATGGGACTTTTAGTAAGAAAAGGTTTTATATCCTTCCAGAAATTCTTCCCAAACATTCAAAATACCTAAAATCACTTTTGCAGGTCTTTATATTGATCATAACTCATGGATAAGGGAACAACCCGATTTCATATTTATATAACCATCTATGATTTAAGTTATTTTTGGGGTCTTGGCCGGTCACTTTTTTCATTTTTTGGCCCTTATTTGACATTTTATTTGTTATTTGTTTAATCATCATTGAATTATCCTATGATGAAAATATGGACTTTAAGGGGTCTCCAACTTACAATTTAAATGGCAAATAAAATTAATTCCCATCTTATCATTCTGCCCTCAATTATGAGGTGGATAAAACTATTTTTACTTATTTAAATCACGCGAAATGCTATGACATGCTATATTGTTCTGCTATATTTTTGATTTGGCCTCTATTTGTCATCTTGGATTATAAGGGGTAGAAGAAAGATTTCAATGTAGGTCGATGTTTCGGAGTAGTGCCCATATAAAGAAGGTACCTCCTAATTTAACCACATTTCAAAGAATTTGGCTAATAATGCGTATTAGGGGGGTGAAAATCTTACACTAAAATTTCAACATATCTACAAATTTTAGAATTTTTATCCATGTTATAATACCCTCTCAAGTCCACCTTTTGGCGGACAAACAGACTGACATGGTTAG